TGGAAAATCTACAATATCTCTGAATTAGATAGGAACTTATATTTTCGAACTTATATTTTCATATTTCTTAAAAATTTCTAAACTTTAAGTTGATATACACATGTGATGCACAACGTGATGCTATATGGCAAGTGCACAAAATGTGGTGGACATGTGACATGCAATGATATGTTATGTATATATACACAATGTGTTGTGCACATGTGATATGTAGATATCCTACATGAGAGTATGGAGACATACACTCGTGTAGAGTAACTGAACATGTAATACATGTGTACTATTTAATATGAGGATATAAGGACATATGCTCATGTAAGAAGAAAGCATAACTAAATGTGCATGTGTATAACATGTTTCATATATATACGATATGAGGCTACTTGAAAATATAACAAATTTTGTGCATAAGTGATATGTGAACATCAAACTTGAGCGTATAAGGGCACATGCTTATGTTCGAGATGTCACAAAGGTTGGTGAAAGTGAACTAATTGTTGTTCACTTCACACATGATTTATGCTACCTGAAAAAACATCACAAAATATTTTTTTTTGCAATAATTCAAGTGATGCATGCTTATGAGAAATACGTGCATGCTAAATCCTAATAAAAAACATAAATGTGTTCTTCATGCACTATTTAATTGCATTACATGCATACGATATTAAATATGCTCATTCCAAAAAAATCCCTAGAGCTACTTGATGGGAAATTAATCTACCTAAATTTCCTCTCATAGCTTTGATTATTAATGATTTTGAGTTGTACGAACACATCATTATACAATATAATGATATGCCCATGCCCATTTGTGTGATTTAAACATATGGCTTTTCTTGAAGAATACTCTCATGACCAAAAGTATAGATTAGTAAAGGGATTCTTCCATTCCCTAGGAGCAAAGGCTCCATCATACCAATAAAAGGATGGAGACATCAGAACAAATACAATATTAATACAATCTTAAATGGGAGAGGGGTTTTTGGAAAAAATCACTTAAGGATCTAGGGGAAATTAATATAATAGTTTCGTAACCTAGGGCTTTCTCTAAGATCAACTTAGCCTATAACTCTAACATCATCACAGAAATGTTTTTTTAAGAAAATAATAAGAGTGCAAGAGTTAAAGAAGATCTTGTCACATTGACGTTTTTAGAAGCATTCTTTTTGCTTGTCCTTGCTTTCATTTTGCAAGGATGTCCAAGAAAACTTCAAGAAACTCCTCTTAATCTCACCTCATGAGAACCTAAAGTGGAAAATAAAGAAAAAGATGAGGATAAAGATGAGAAAGATGAGATAAAAGAGGAATAAAAAGAAAAAAAAAATTGAAGAATAGAAGGGAACAAGATGAGGAAGAATCCTTCCCATATCTTTTTCTCTCTAAAAACTCTCTATGACTTCTCAACCCAAATCTCCACAAAGTCCCCTTAACTTTCAGCCCCCATAAGTTTCAAATTGGCTAAAAAACAAAAAAGAAAGGAGCCAATATGTTGTTACAAAATCATCCCTCCTTCGACCTTAATCCTCCAAAAATAATCATACAAATAATGTGTTTAATCGACCAAAGATGCATGACATTGGTCATTTGGAGTTTGGGGATAAAGTGATTTCTATTTTACCATTCCCCATCATTCTATATCCAAATATTGACCTTTAGAGGCTTGATTTGGCCAAAATGACTACCGAACATGAGAGAAAGAATTAGCCTACCAATTGCATGCCACACCCCAATGCGAGTGTCAAACATATATCCAAATATTGACCTTTAGAGGCTTGATTTGGCCAAAATGACTACCGAACATGAGAGAAAGAATTAGCCTACCAATTGCATGCCACACCCCAATGCGAGTGTCAAACATATATCCAAATATTGACCTTTAGAGGCTTGATTTGGCCAAAATGACTACCAAACATGAGAGAAAGAATTAGCCTACCAATTGCATGCCACACCCCAATGCGAGTGTCAAACACTTGCAAGGGGGTGCCAGACCAATAATTGGTTTTTGGTGCAAAGTTTGTGAGGAAGGGTTTTCATTGATCCATTTGGCTAGGAGAAAGATATTTATGAGTTGAATATTGTTTAATAAAATGTAAATGAACACATCAAGCATGTGCAAATTAAAAAAAAAAGAAGTTGATGCATATAAAGATTAGCCATTGTTAGCATGACTGCATCAATTCAAACCCTATTTTCATGCTCAAACTGCGTGTTGAAGGGTTTTATAGATCCCTTAGACTGTGAGAGGCTATGTATGAATTGAATATAATCCTTAAATAATAATTTATGGATCAAACATGAGTTTCATAAAAAATTGATGCCAAAAGCTGCCTCCTCCTCTAATTGTCTCTTCTTCTTCTTCTTTTTTTTTCATATGATCAGAAGAAGAAGAAATTGTATTATTTGAATAAAATATCTCATCATAATCACCTCGTGTAAAGGTAGATCTCTCCTTGCTCTCCCTACTAGCTTCTCTTCTCTTTCAATCATTGATTATAATGAAGCAAAGGGCAAGTTTACTCTATGTTTCAATTTTTGGTTTAAGCACTATCGCTTCTTTGATCATCCTTGTAAATTGTTCTTTCTCCTAATTCATGTATTGCATTAAAAGCTCTTAAGTGCACTCCAAGTTTATAGAAGCTTATCAAAAGTATGCTTCTTCTCCATGTAAAACTTCAATTCTAATTTCTTATAAGGTCCACACTCACTACGCCTTAAATGATGTTGGATCTTGAATTTACAGCAGTCTCCTACCACATAAGGAAGTGCTTTGTTAAAAGAGAAGGGTAAAGGCATTGGAAATGGAAGGAGAGAGAGAGATAGAGAGAGAGAGAGAGAGAGAGAGAGGAAATCTCTCTTAAGTCTGAAGTTGAAAGAGTAAAAGTCAAGTACAAATCTATTAAAAGAAAAAAATGGGCCTCTCCCGTCAGCCCTTACATGATCTTCCCTATATATAGGTTGGATCAGTCACAAGTGTGGTTACATAAAAGACTATACAATAAGAAAAATATGTATCAAAATAATAATAATGATGTAGTTAGGCGTGTAACACATTACATGGTATATTGTTATCGAATCATCTCACAATTTTATGAAGTTGCCGCAACTCCTCAAGTCAGCTCACCAAACTTATTTTTCAAATCTGATTATGTGAATTGATTTAGTCGAGCAGGTAAACTAAATTAATATATGTTGTGTCAAATAATCTAACAAAGCCTGTTAAAGTTAACATGAATGAATTTGATGAGTTGTCCTACTAAATTGATGGAGTTTCATTACCATCTCACATTTCTTATTAATATAACATTAAAATCACATGTGTGTTAACAACCCATGCTTTGAAATTTATGGGATTTTATTTTGTTTTTTTAAAATTGGATTATTTTTATCTATTTTTTTAAATAAAAGTAAAAAAAATTCATCGATAGGTATTCAAAGTACAATACTTCTGTGAATTACAAGAGATATAAACCTTGAAAAGAAAAGTTCACAAAATGAAGATTAAACAACTTTTGAAGTTCTCCTAAATTGGAATAAAAGAATAAATGCCCTTCAACCACGAATACTCAACACTAAACACTAAACACTAAACCATAAAATCCTTAAATCTAAACTTTAAACCTTAATCCTTAAAACATAGAATCCATATTCCTAAAACTTAAACCCAGACTCCTAAAACCTAAAACATAAATACTAAACTCTTTAATAGCCCTCACATTGGGGCTAGCGCAATAATGCTATCTATGTAGTATTATGAAACTAGGGCGCAAAGCTACTTGTCGTGAATATGCTAAGCCATAAACCCTTGAACTCTTAACACTTAACACAAAACTGTAATAAGTCAAATAGAATCAAAAGCCATCTTGGTTGAATAATTAGTATTGAAACAAAGTAAGCTTTATGCAACATTTCTAATAAGTGTTCCAGCCAAAACTTAATCTTGATTCAAGTGGATGGCAAACTCCAAGGCAAAATACCCACACAAGCATTCCAACATGGGGTCCTAGTACAGAAAGATATTGAATTGTAGTAGAAATATTCCCAATGGTAGTCTAGTTGCAGAAAAACTCCATAATGTCCTCAACACTCCATTGCGTTATACATGGAAGCTTATGAGGATGGAAAGGATTATCGGGTTGCATGTCTTCTATGTTATCTTTTTGGCGTTAAAATGGTTGTTTTATCAGAATTTTCTTTATCAATGGACTTCTTTTCTTCGGATTGTGGTCTCTTTAAAACCATATGCTATCACAATGTGCATAACATTTTTAAATTCTATTACTCTTATTCTCCCATTTAGCGTTACATAACATTATATTTTTTTTGTTTTTTTGTTTTTTTGTATTTTCGGGCTTATCGACTCATTGTTTTACTTTGCCTTGATTTCTATTATGGTATTTGACGTAGATGGAAGTTTATTAATTCAAAGTTACGAATCATAGGCAGTGAAAATTCATGCTTAAGTGTGCATTTCATTATGCATACATCACTTGATTTAACCATTGTGAATATAACATGTGTAACAACATTTATTTATGTCTTATATCTTTCTAATATAAGGCAAATATTTTATTATTAATCTTGTTTTATTTCGTGCTACATTATTTAAATATTGGATGATTTATGTACATACCACACAATTGTTGGGTATTTTTATATTTTACACTTATATTTTAATTTTAACAGACATATTCATCATACGTATATGTGAAAATGTGCATTTCATTAAAAACAATTTAAAAAAGCGATAATTTTGATGTGAAATGAAAATTTTGGGTGGTATAAATGTAAAAAATAAAATTTAGGTGCTAGAACTGTAAATACATGGGAATTGAGTTTTATGTCTGTAAATGCCGCTTAAATATATGTAATTGAGCGGCTCTTATTTTTGAAAGGCACGTTAATAATTGTTCGCTTTGACTGCCGTCCCTATGGAGCCAATCAGATGATTAGAGAGTAGGTCCCAGTGCAGTCAACTCGATTCCTTCAATGAATGCTTATACAGCCATAACATTTTCCCCTGCACCCCTCCTTCCCTTGTGCGTTTAGCTTGTGTCGGGTTGCCATGGTCGCTGAGGCAGGCACTCCAACGCTGGGGCTACTGTCTCACGGCAAATCACCGGCGAGCGTGCGGGATCCTGAACGTGGTCTCAACGAGGAGTGCGAAGTCAGTTTCGAAATCCTTGATGTTCAATTTGATCCATTAGGTTTCTGTATTTTTTTTTTATTCGTCATTTTGATCATCCCCCTTTTTTATCTGAACTGTTTATTTATTTATTTATTTATTTATTCTCTCTTCGTCTAAGTTTTAGATGGCTTTCTTAAATTGGAAATTTATGATTTGTAATTATCTGTTCTGCTTTAGAGTTTACTGGGATCGTCTGGTACTTTGGCGTATGGTCATTGAAGCTAACCACCGCCTTTAACACATAGGATGCTATTTTTGTCCCTGATTTTTCTGATGAATTGATATTGCATTTTGGTGTGTTGTTCAAAAAGTGCCATTTTGGTGGAGAACCTTTTTTTTTCTTTGATGATGGTTTGTTCTGACCTATCTTTTTGGGTTACCGGTCTTTTTCTTTATTTATTTTTTGAATTAATGTTTCTTCAGCGGGAATTTGTTTTTGACAAGTTGATTTATGATTTCTGATCATTCGTATATTTTCTGAACAGGATGGTTGGTGTTGGAGTAATTTTGTTCTTGCCTACAAGACACTGGGGGTGGTGTTTGGTGGCCTAGTAACATCTCCTCTCTATGTTTATCCCTCCATGAACTTGAATTCCCCTACAGAAGAGGATTATTTGGGAATTTACAGCATCATGTTTTGGACGCTAACTTTGATTGGGGTGATCAAGTACGTGCTCCTTGCTCTTAATGCTGATGATAATGGTGAAGGTAACTTTTGCTTCTTATTTTTTAAACCTTAACCCTTTATAGATGCTCTGTTTGGCTCGAAGGAATTGAAGGCGAGGATATGGTGAAGGAATTGAAATTTTGTTTCCCCCGATATGTTTGGTCAAGCAACAATTGAGAGAATGATATTTATATTTTTTATCTCTGTTGTGGTAAGAAATTGAGCTTTTGTTTATAGTGAGGAGGAGATACATGAGCCATAGATATGATCTAATAAAATTTTCTTCCCATTTTTTGCTATGATCTGTAAATGTTTTAATTTAAAAAAAATGTTTTAGTTCTCTATTCATTCAGGTAATTCCAATCGCCTCTTGTTTATATTGAAATCAAGCACCTGTGGTATGTGAAGTTTTGAAGTAAAATGCATTTACGTTCTCTCGAATTCCAGCAAACCACAGGAAGGCATACTCTTTAGACAAATCTATCCATCCAATGATTATGAAATTTTGCATTTATATTTTTTATTATCTAGTGTCCTCAATTTCACATCCCTCACAGGCCTTACGTTGTTCTTAGATATAGAAATAGTTTAGACTGTATAGCAATTTGTGCCTATTAAAAGAAACAATCCTGGAGGGACAGGAGGAGGATGAATTTAAGTATGTCCTATAATTAATACCAACTGGGTAAAAAGCACACAAATTAAATTTAAAGAAAAGAAAAACGAAGTTTTGTTTTAAATATGCACAAAATAAGCAGACATTCTACTCCAATCCAGTCCTAGCTACACCTCGTTTTTATTTTATTAGGTTTTGGCTTCAATAATGTGGTATAAATAGGGAGCAGAAGGATTATGCAAGAGTAAATGGCGCCCCATCTATCTTATTTCATGATTCCTTGTTAGTATTTGGTTTTAACTCCAATAGAATCAATAAAAAAGGAGTACCAACCACTTTATTTTTCGTTTGAATTATTAGGAATGCTTTCCGGAAGAAATGGTAAAAAACACTATTTTTCTTACAAATATTTTGTTATTCTTTAGGTATTTATGGGTAATGTTTCATATGTCTAATCAGTATCCCAATTTTAGTGAACTTTGTTTAGATTTTTTATTTCTAATTTCAGGGGGCACATTTGCTCTATACTCGCTACTATGTAGGCACATCAATTTTGGCACCCAGCCATCAAGAACCGCCAGCTCAAGCACATACATGTCATATTCTAATAATTCCTCGAGTTCTAAGTCAAGTAAATTAGGGATGTTTATTCAGAAAAGTATGACAGCACAAAGGATATTGCTTTTCATTGCAATGTTGGGGATGTGCATGCTTATTGCTGATGGCATACTTACACCTGCTATCTCAGGTACTTGTTGCCATATTAATTTTACCAATTGAATTCTTTTGGATGTTTATTGATATTTATTAAAGTTATTTTGCTTAGTTTTATCGGCAATTGATGGAGTTAGAGGACCATTCCCTTCCGTAAGCAAATGTCAGCAATCTGCAAATACTCTCTTTAAAAATTTTCATCTCTCCCATATTCTAAATATATACTTCTTAAATTTTGTAGCTGCTGTGGAATATATTTCTGCTGTTGTATTGCTAGCTCTCTTCCTCTTACAGAAGCGCGGTACTTCCAGAGTGAGCTTTCTTTTTTCTCCAATCATGGCTACCTGGACTTTGGCTACACCAATAGTTGGTGTATATAGCTTTTTGCAACACTATCCAAGCATATTTAAAGCTTTATCACCTCATTACATAGTCTACTTTTTTGTAAGAAATGGAAGAAAAGGTTGGGAATTGCTGGGAGGAACTGTTTTATGCATTACAGGTAAACTATTACTGAAATTTAAGCCTTCTTTTTGTGAGCTTTTTAGATTTTTTATTGATGCTCATTTTTCTCTTCCAGGTGCTGAAGCAATGTTTGCTGATCTAGGACATTTTAACAAAAGGTCAATTCAGGTTTGTCTATTTGTTGTACTTTCTTTATTGCTTTTAATTTATCTTAATTTGAAGGTCACATTTCTATAGTAAAGCTGGTTCTTGATGCTATATTTTATTCTTGAAGTTTAAACTTATTTTTTATCTTTTTATGTAGATGGCTTTCCTTCTCACCATATATCCTTCATTGGTTCTAACATATGCTGGGCAAACTGCTTATCTAATCAAGCACCTTGATGATCACGATGATGGGTTTTACAAATTTGTGCCTCACACAGTCTATTGGCCTGTCTTTGTAATTGCAACACTAGCTGCAATTGTTGCAAGCCAATCTTTAATATCTGCCACCTTTTCTGTCATCAAGCAATCAGTATTCCTGGATTACTTTCCGCGTGTTAAGGTGGTTCATACATCCAAGCAGAAAGAGGGCGAGGTGTACTCTCCTGAAACCAACTACATCCTCATGGTCCTCTGCATATTGGTTATATTTGGTTTTGGTGATGGGAAAGATATTGGGAATGCATTTGGTATGATTTCGACTCTGATTTAGTCCCTTGATTTGCAATTGATGTTAGCATAGCTTGTTAAAACATTTAATTTTCTTCAGGTGTTGTTGTTATAGTTGTCATGCTTATCACCACGCTTCTATTGACCATAGTTATGATCATCATCTGGAGAACCCCAATCTATTTAGTTATGCTATACTTTTTTCCCTTTCTCATCATGGAAGGTGTCTATGTAAGTGCAGTTTTTACTAAGATTCCACAAGGAGGTTGGTTTCCATTTCTCGTATCCATCATCCTCGCATTCATAATGTTTGTGTGGTACTATGGGAGGCAGAGAAAGATGGAATATGAGGTGAGAAACGAGATATCATTTGCTAGCTTTAATGAGCTCCTTTCATCCCTCGAGATCCAAAGGGCCCCAGGATTGTGCTTCTTCTATGGTAATGTTCAGGATAGGCTTACCCCAATATTTGGGCACTATGTGAGAAACATGAGATCCTTGCATAAAGTGACCATCTTTACCACTTTTAGGTATTTATTGGTGCCAAGAGTGAATCTTAATGAGAGAATCATCGTAAAAAAGTTTGGAATAGAAGGCATATATGGTTGCATAATTCAATATGGATATGCTGATTCCCCCAACGTGGAGGAATATGAGCATGTCTCCCAAGTCATAAATAATTTGAAAGAACATATCAGGAATAATTTTGATGGACTGTCACCCAGCTCTCTTGAAGTAGAGATTTCTGAGTTGGAAAAAGCAAAAGAGATGGGAGTGGTTCATGTTTGTGGAAAGACGAGGTTTCATATTGGTATTCAGACCAGCTTGTCTGACAAGATTTTACTTGGTTTTTATGAATTTTTGCATGGCAATTGTAGATCTGCATTGCCTGCTTTCGGAATTCCTATGCAGCAATCTATGGAAATTGGGATGTTTTACAATACTTAAATGTCAATAGAAAGATTTTGTAATTCATGCTCATATCAAAATCCACTTGTCAGCTTCAGCTTGTATTGCATGCATTCAATGTTGTGTAGTTGGTTGTCCTAGAAGCAATTTTTTATATAAACAATTTAGAAATGCAAATTTCTGACGAACTTTCTACTTTTTTTTAGCGGAAATTATTATTTATTTGTTATTGCTGAATTTTGATTTGCTTATGGTCTCACACCGCTTAAGAGTTTTGGAGGAGAAAAATGTAGGAAGACAAAATACAAAATAATAGAGAAAATCGTAATATCTCTCAACTATGGAGCTAAAGCAAAGAATTTGTAGTAGAAATGATAAAGTATAAACCTCCAAAAAAAAAAAAAAAAGAGATCATCATATCCTTTGGATGGTCTTTCCGTTCATAGGTTTTGGTAGGCCTCAGAGGTGGTTACATGAATGAATACAAAAAAAGAGGGGATGGGAATACATTGAAATAATGAGAATGATGTAGCTAGGTTTATAGTGCGTCACATAGTATAATGCTATTCCGCTATAAGGCAAATTTGTGACGTCATTCAAAATTGTAGAGTTAGTTCGTTGAACAATTTGCCAAACTGATTGGGTTAATGTTGGTCGAACAAATGTTTGCAAAGTTGATTGCAGTCTACTAAGCGACGGTCAAATTGTTTTGTCAAATTGGCCGAATTCAATTGTTTCGACGAACTTCATTGGAAAAGGCATAGAATATTTATATTACGTCATGTGTTTGATGTTGTCCCAATGAGGAGTATCTAGCTATATCTTTAGTTTCTCAGTTATATTAATTATTTTATGGTAAACTTACAAAAATATTTGGAGAATAATAATATTTGTCAATTCAACGATTAATATAATAATTTTTGTCATCCATCCCCCCTTTGTCTTCTAGAAATAAAACATTATGGGGAACACTTTTCAATAGCTTAAAAGTGATATTTCATTCTTCATCTTCTTTACTCTATGATCTTTGCAATTAATGAATGGCATTATAATAGATCAAATTAAAATTATAAAGAAGAAGATTGAAGCAACACTTTATTATAAACACAAGAAAGATGAAGAAGAAGAAGAAGAAGAAGAAATGTGTTATAATATGATAAATGCACGGAAGGGCTCCTCAGGAGGGAACTTTATTTTCTATCCACTTGTTGCTTGTTCATTGAATAACATTTAAAAGCACCAACTGTTGTTGAGCCTTCTCCTATTATAGAGATATTAGCAACCTTGGGAACTCATTGTAAAGTAGAGTTTGCACACTCGGAAAGGTGTTCATTGAATTAAAGATAACGAACATCATATTTAAACTTGATCATTTTCAATCGGGATCTTAAGGCCATACTAATATATGATGTTTGAAGAATATACTTTTAAATGAATAAATTTAGTTTTTGATGAGAGCATTTTTTTATTTTGCAATGCAGCTCACTCTAAGTGAACTCATGAGTAATGAACAATTTATTATACAACGTGCTCATTCTCAAGTTTTTATTGAGGCTATAGTTGAAAGGAATGTTACTCAAGATTGCTCCAACGAATAATGAGATGAGAGATATTTTGCATGGAAATTCCTCATCTTCACGTTGAACCTACTACTCTTGAAGTTTCTGAAGCTCCAACTATGAATCTGCTTGTTGAAGGAAAGAATGCTCCTTCAAAGTTATTAAATTTGCATCTTCTTGTCAAATATGATAGTGTTACTTGCAGATATTCCTTATGAAGGAAATGTACAATTAGTTACTAAGTGAAGTTTTTTTACTCTTTTAGCTGCTCATATACTGAAAATACACAAAACTCTAATGTTCTAGACAAAAGAAGTTGCTCATGAGCTATTTATGATGATTTCAATTACTGAAGTGAATTTTGATGCTGAAATAATGAAGTAAATTAAAGGTTTGTAGAAAAAATTATCGAAATGTCAACTCAACTTGCAAAATTAAATAATTTTTTTGGAGAGTTGAAGGATCTGTTTAGTTGCATGAAGTCCTTCTCTAAGAAATAAAAAGCTAAGTTATTGAAATAATCTCCTAGCTAAACATTTTGCGAAGATAATTAGAATCAACTCGATCAAATCAATTTATATATGAATGAGAAAAATGTCATACAAGTTTTCCAAATTGATGAGATTTTTGTTAAAGATGATAAAGATGCTTTCCTTTAAAATTTTTTTTTATTTAATAAACTAAATGTTTAAATTTGAACAACTGTTGAATTATTTTTGATAAATATATAATGTATAATTTCTTAAGAATCCTTATGATGATGAAAATATTTCTATCCTTATATTTAATTTGAAAAGCTTTTATTTTGAAAAATATATTGTCATACTTAATTACTTTATTGCTAGTTTATTAAAAAAAACTATCTTTTATATATAATTGAAATTATTCAAAACTCAATTTTTTTGTTCTTCCATGTCTTCAGTTCTCGTGTTTTCTAGAAACTTTAGTTGTTCAAAATCTCTACCTTTTTGGGTCAATCTTCTTTTTCGTTTAATCTAAAAAAATGGGCTCTATACTCTTAACAATAGTGTAGCTTTCACATATGATTCTTTGCCTCGAAAATTGATATTTAGAAGGACTAGTCTAAATCTAAAATTGGCTAACTATGTATTTGCAGTTGCTACAAAATTATTGCTAGCTCAAGAAGATGTCATTAAATTCTATTTATGATGATGGAATATGTAACTATCTTGTCCAATATTGACTAGGACTCTAACTTCCTCTATTTGATGTGTTGGTTGACAATCTCACCTTTTTGGAGTTGTTCCAACATAGATGTTGATGAATTCCTTTGTTACCATCATGTTGATGATCTTGCATATTAAGGTGAGTTGGATGCATTGGTCACTCAACTTCTTTCACCACCTTTTCTTTTTGAATTCATATGAAGATCGGTTCATTCTATTCTTTGCAACTAGAATTTGAATGGTTGGTTCAGAGAATAAATTATGTTATTGGATTAATTGTTTTTTCTTCTAAGTTGCAATGATTTATGGTTGATTCTGAATAAGCCATAGTTATTTTATGCTGACAGGGTAGTCTATTGATTTTTACTTCTAAAGAGGAAACAAATTTAGTTGGTCCTCAGAAAAATTAGTTTGAATGAATGAATTCATCAAGCACCTCTACATAAAAAAAAAATCTATGTGAATTTTTCTTTTAAAATTGAATTTATATTTGTTTTTTTTTCTGAGTTTCACAAATGAAAATTGGTCATTATTATCTTTCTATCATTTTTTTAAAGTTAGTAATTTTTTCTGATATGCCTCATGTAGATTTTGAAGACACTTCCTTATTAGAATATGTAGCTGAGAAATATGGTGAAGTTGAAGAGAAAGATATCTAAGAAAGCCAAGCCGATACGCACAAGGGGAGAACTATCTGATGTTGTGGTGACTTCACATTTTTTTTTATTAATAACAGATGTTGAAGTTGGACTTCTATTAGAGGAAACCTAAAAAATTACTATAATAGATAGAAGAATTCCTTCATCCTTAGGACAATCTTGCTTTGCTTATTAACCTTAGCTCCTATAATGGTAAATGTGGCTTAAAGAAAAGGCAAAGATATAATAATATCTTCTTAGTGGACCGAGCCTTCTATGAAAAAGAAAATGAAACAACTGCATCTGACATTTATTCAATTATTGAGTCTCTTCTAGTTGTTGAGGCTCATCTATTTATTTAGGGTTTTCCATTTCTAAATGGATTTCTTCTCAATAAAACATAGAAATTATCAAAATCTTTTGTTGATTACAAATAGAATTGGTATAATTCTTCATATTTAGCTTGTTCCCTTGCCTATGAAAATTTTGTTGTGATCTACTTGCCATCTCTTACTATTGATTCTCATAAAATTGGGCTAGATTTATATGTTATATGGTGATTTTGCTTAAAGAGATGGTAAGAAACTACTATTCTATAATAAACATTTTTAGTAATAATTAGAAGGAAATCAAGTAGCTGTAATAAAACATATTTGTTGTTTAGGATAATGATCGAAGAGCCAAATAATGAAAAGTTGCTGACAAAGAAAAAAAAAATAATGCTTAGAAAAATGCATTTGATAAAAGTTATTAAAAACAAAGATGTTTTGTTTAGGCTTACAAGGAATCTAGCTTACCCTAAGAAGAGCTACTTTCCTATAGAGGTGTAATATCATCAAATTTTTTTTCTCATAGATATGGAGTGTGTTAACAAAAATTATATGAGGGTATGGTTGCTTTTACATAAGGCAATGAAGAAGTTGATTGTAGAAAATCATGCATTAATTATCTTTAAGAGTGAAAACTCCATCAAGGCTATTCCTTTCTGACCAAAGAAAAATATGTTGAGATTTTCATACATATTTTATACTAATATTGATGATATTACACTTTAAAAAAGGGTATTTTTGATGTTTTGTTGTAGGTATGTTGAATTATGGTCGTTGGAGCAAAAAGATGCAAAAATGAGCGAATTTGGAGCAAAAAGGACCAAAATATGAAGTTTTGAACTAGGGCGCCGACGGCGAGCCAAACGTCGCGGACAGCGGGTTTTTCCTGAGAGTATCAAATATTCTAAAAGGCTGCCGACGGTGCCATTGAGGCCGCCAATGGCGAGAACGACGGTTCTCTTAACAGGTG